TTTTCCTCAGCACGCTGTCTCCGTTCCCGCGTGGACGAAAACGAAATGGTCGCCTCCAAGAAATCCTCAGATGCCACGAGGATGGCGTGGATGGCCCAGACGTCTGACTCTGAAGTGACGCGGGGGACCCGTGGCGTGCCGTCGATTCGCGAGCAGCTCCGAGACTTTGTTGCCTTAGAGCTGGCAACTGCCCGGCCGATACCGCGTGATGCAGCCCGTTTGGGTACCACGGAAAACTCGCTGACTCGTGTCGAGAGCCACACTCTAGCTGAGATCAAGACTGGCGAGACGAGCCTCGATGTCACAGACGACACCGACCAGGTTCTTCCCTGGGGAAGTGTTGGAGGGGACCCAGACGACGCACCGTCGCTGCTTGCACGCCCGTATGGTGTCGTAGCGCCTCGCGCCGGCGACTTGATCGAGATCCGCACGGACTCATGGCGAGTGCAGCTGCTGGCTGTATGTCTAGGCAACTTCCGCGGCGTCGACCACTTTTACACAAATACGGGAAAGTGGTTTGTGAGCTCGGGCGTGCGCAGTTTGTTTGCTGTAACACGATTCGCAACCCCAGACGACCTGGCACCTCTCATTGCAGCGCTGCCGTCGGAGGCCCTGCAAGAGACGACGACTGATTCCAGCGGCGCGGGGGGGAAGGACGCTGCGGCTCTTGACTCGAAACTCAATATGTTGCAAGACCTTAAGCTGGGACCCTCTCGCGAAGCAGGTGCTGGATTGCTCAAGAAGATGGCCGATTTCGCAGAGCAGGCTACCGGCATCCACATGGCTCATGCCGGTGTACTTGACAACGCCTTTGACGTCCTTCAACTGTCAGAACAGGACTCTGGTAAATCCTCTGGAAAAGTTTCTGGAAACACGTCAGACTCGGCTCCACAGCATCGCAAGACATACATGACACTCGACCAGCTTGCGTCAGTCTTGCTGCGGCGCCAGGGTTACAAACACCTAGGTCCCCGTGGACAGCACAACAACCACCGGCACCATTTTCCCATTCGAAATTTGAGGGGCCGTGGCAGCGGCGCTGAGGGTATGGATGAATTTACGGCGCCCGCCATGTACGCTGTCTACCGTTCAATTGTCTCCAATGACCTTGCCTTCCGCCCGTTGACAACCACCCTCGGAAACGCCAGCGAGACAGACGATGCCTTGTCGCCGGGCGCCGTTGATACTGGTGAGAAGCGGCACAGCCACAGTCGTTCTTGCTTGTTTGCAATTGCGCCTCGCGAGGACATTGATATCATCCATGGTGTGGATCGAATCGTTCGCAGTTTCTACGAAGACCCCGACCGTGTCAGCTCAGGTGGTCAGCTCAGCGATAAGGCCTTGGCCAAGAAAACGCTAGGCAGTTTCATTCTAAAAGCACGCAGAAGCATTGACCGGAGCCGGAAGACCCGCGACTGGTCGCCTTATGGCATGCTTGGCACCGCAGAGCGAAATCCGAAACATAATGTTCACTCCAACTTTGAGCAGTGGAGTCCTTCAGACGTTGCGATTCTTCAATTTATGCACCTTTGGGCGAGCTCGCAGCGGTTCTCGCCGTCGTCGCGGCTGCATGGCACCGGGTCGGCCATCCTCCGCGCCCTTGATCGGTATACTGAGTGCCAATTCCTTGTTATGTCCACCGGATGGACGTTCCTTCAAGAAGTCGGCTGGGTAACTCCGTGGGACCTCCCTGCTCGCTATAAACTGGGTCTGCCGGATATCCCGCCTCTCCGTACAGGCGGACTAGAACGGTCACTGGAGCAGCTGCCATCGCCGTCCGTCGACTTCTCAGCCACTGATTCTGCTTCTACCGCATCCCCTTTGTCTGAAGACATATTCGAGGGTAAACGCCGGGACTGGGGTGATCTGACTGCTTTTTGTATTGATGCCCCAGAGGCTGCCGATATTGACGACGGTGTTGCGCTTGAGCGCATCGCAAATTGCCCGGATGAGTTCTGGATCCATGCACATGTTGCCGACCCGGGCTCGCGCATTCGCCCGGGCAGTGCTCTCGCCGAGCAGGCCGCACGGATGCCCCAGACAGCCTACTTGCCAGGCCACCATGAGTGCATGTTCCCTGACGACGTTGTGCGCAAGCAGTTTTCTCTGGGCCCTGGCCAGCCCTGTCTGACGTTCAGTGCGAGGGTCAATCGGCAAGGCGATGTGCTAACGTCTAAGATCACACCTGGTCGTCTCGGCCGCGTCATTTTTATTGCGCCGAGCCAAGTTTCTTCCGTTGTCGCCAATGCCGAACAGCGAGCCATCCGTGACAATAACATTGATGCCCTGGCTGAGCCTTCGGCACTTGAGCTGCCGTGGACAACAACCTCCTTTTCAGTTGGCACGCCTTCAGCCACAACCAAAGTTGATCCCTCTTCCCCTGCCGCACGCACGATGACCACAGCAGACAAACTCACGCCAGACCAGAAAGAGGATCTCGAAACGCTTTCGACACTAGCAACCGCACTCCGTGCCGTGCGCCTCGCCCATGGCGCCATGCCGCTGTACTGGCCACGTCCTTCTGTTGACGTGTCACTGGACAACACCAACGTGGTCGTTGTAGATGCTGCCGCACAATCCGGCCCGCCAAAGGCTGCGGATATGATCTCTTCGACAAGCAGCAAACACAGCATACCCGCATCCTTACTGCAAACCTCCGGCGACCCGTATATTCGCATCTGGTACGAAGGTGCCGATGCGGTCTCTGCCGCAGCAGCCGCGTCTTCTGCTGCCGGCAGCCGTCTCGTGGAGAGCATTATGCGCTTGGCGGGTGAGGTGGCCGCCAACTGGTGCCACGAACGCAACATTGCAGTACCCTTCCGTGGCCAACCCGACGCGGTGCGCCACCTCGACCGACTGCGGGAGCTGACGCGGGACGAAATATACCCTGCCCTAGTCTCCGGCAAGCGGCCCGAGGATGCCTCGCTGCGCGAACTTCGGCGGCTGCTGGGAGCCGACGACATGACGGCTGTGCCCGTGCCTCATGTCACTATGGGTGTGGCGCGGTACACCAAGGCGACAAGCCCGCTGCGCCGGTATTCCGACCTTTTAGTTCATTGGCAAGTTGAAGGCGCGCTCTTGGCCGAGATGAAGGACAGCGAGAGCAACGCCACGCCATTGAAGGCCTCGCCTCCAGCAGGGCCGCCCTTTACAAGGACGGAGATGGAACAGGATATCTTGCCGCTACTTCGAGTGCGTGAACGCGCCCTTCGGTCGCTTGATAACCAAGCTGGGCGTGACCAGTGGATCCTGCAAGCAATGGTGAGGGCGTGGCTCGGCGAAGAGGCCCGCATAACCAGCCGAGCCGATAAGGACAGCGAGGCGACCGAGACAACTACATCGACACCTTTTGCAAATCTCCACTTGACCGTCTCGCGCATCGACAGGCGCCGTGGTCTTGTCTCGGGCCGGCTTGACTGGTTCGAGCAGACTGCGGTGATGGATGTGCTCAGCCTCAACGCCACTGGCCCAGATAGGGACAACGACGGTATGCAGCGGTTGACCCTCGAAGACATCCAGCCTGGCCAGGTGTACCCTGTGGCTTTGTCCCACGTCGATGTCCACGGAAACATGGTACTCGTTCGCCGGTTGGGAGATGCTTTATAGAGGTCGGCGTCTGGGATATGACATGGTTCCATGTTGTCGTTTCTCAAATTAGTATCTTGTGTATAACTATGAAAAGAGAACCACTTTATCTCTTTTTTTTTTTTTGCATAGAAAGGCTTTTGGATTTGTATGTCACGAATTAGATTTAGATACCACCCCACAAAGACGTCTAAATTTGAATGATGATGATTATTGCGTGGAATATATTGTATCCAAGAATAGTTTCGCATTGTAATCTATACAAGTGTTTTTATTCCATAAAAATAGTAAAATGTATATTTTTAATATCATAAAAATCAACGCCAAAAAGATGGTGGAACAAATGCCATTTATGTTATAACGTTCCCTTGCGATTACGTAAACGCATTTCCGTAACCTTTTTTGTTTTTCCCGGTTTGCAGCTCGCGCCTGTCCGATCCAAATATGTCCCTTAATCCCGTGGCCCCTGAATTCCCGCGAAAGCCCTGACAATAAAACAGAATAAGTGCGGAACGTGAAAGCAATGTGATGAATGATTGCATCCCTCACCAGCCGCGATGAAGACAAAAATCAAAATACGCATGCCTTTTGAGACAAGATGAACCGCAAACCGAAATACCGACACAACCGCACCCACAATATGTTGTGTTACCGACAAGTTGTTTGTGGCGACGACAAACGACAAGTTAACGCGGAAAAAAAAATCATGATATGCCCTCTCCCTCCCCAAGTATTCGGTGTGCTGTTTTGTGTCGACCCTTTCGACAAAAAAAAATTTCAGGTTTTTTTTTCAACTGCGAAAGTTGGCAACTCCCAGGAAGGCAAAGTACAGAATAAATTAGCAAAACGCAAAACAATAAATGAAACTGAACGCCGGTTGAAAATGCCATTTCGCCATAGAAAAGATGTAATCGATCGTCGAACAGCTTCGAGATCATGACGTGAAAGGGAAACCAAGAAATTTCCCGTGGTTTGCGAAGTAGGTCGTGAGATGGTGAGTTGGGGAGGCAAGGTATTAAAGCTGGCGTGCGGCCGTAATGCGAGATGATGATCTGGGGTATATTTAGGTTGGTATGAATCGGCGCCAATATGGTGTGCCGATTTGATGGCGTGTTGTCCTCCGCCGGCTCTCCGATTTTTAAAATGTGTGCTGCCTCGTTGCTATACTATTGTACAAACAAAGAGACAAAACCAACAAGGATACGATCCGTGCGCGAATTCCCAAAGAAGGCAAAATAGCGATGCCATCACTGAGGGCGATGATGACGTTGGAGAGATGACAAGGTCCTAGAGCTTCCTCCTATTCATCAAAGCAAACAAACAGATCAGCAAAGCCCAAAGGCGACAAATTAAAAGGACACCGCCCTAGAGTACCCCGAGAAAGCCCGCCGCGGGGTAAATATGCGACAAGCTGTTCATGGTCTCCAGCCGACGTTCCAAATAACGTGGATAATGTCGCGGGCTGTGTTGACCGTATCAATGACTCGACCAACCAGCCCACCATTACCGCCTTCTGCTGGCTCACCTTCGTCGTAGGGCATGAACATGCCCGAGGATGTTCTACGCATCCCGGTAGGTTCTGCGGAAAGGCTGCTGGTCGAAGTTGTTCGCTTAAGCCCACCGCCGCCACTACTGCTGCTGCTGCTGCTGCCAATGTTGTCAAACATGGATGAAGCGTGCAAGGCACTGTCGATTGAATTGCCGCCGAGTCTCGAGGTCGATCCTGACAACTTTAGGCCGCCAGCACGCAGGATTGGGCCGCTCATGGCCATACCGAAATTGTCGTCATCGCTGTTGCTATCATTGTCGTCATCGTCATCGTCGTCATCCTTGGGTTGTTGGACAACGTGTCCGTCACTATCTTCGTCGTCTTCGTCATCGTCATCATCCGCACCAAAAAAAAGTTTGCCGGATGCTTTTGACGGACGCAGCGTTTCCTGGGACGAAGAGGGTGACAGAACAGGGCTGCGATAACTGTGTTTCATCGCGGACCCGGTCGATCCGGCACCCGGTAGATCTTCCGTGTCCTCGCGATACTTGAGCGTGGTCGACGGGAGCATGGCGATGGTTTTGCTCTCATTGTGGTGGTTCATGTAGCTGTGGCGCCGACGTGGCTGCATACGGTGCTTTGATGTTGTGCGCTTCATCATGATGGCGCCGTCATCCGAGTCGCTGTCGTAATTGGGACGAGCAATAAAGCTATCGGCATCATCGTCTTCTCCCTTGGCTTCAACGGCTATGCACTGCTCGACTTGCTCGTTGAAATGGATGTGTCTTCGTTCTGAGGTCGGCGAGACAATTCCCGAGGAAGAGGTAGACGGCAGCATGCTAGGCGGGCCCGTGCTATACTGGCGAGAAGAAAAGGGAAAAGTGACGTAGTCCGTTGTAGCACGCTCGAGTCGCGGGCGAGACATCCTCCGTGCACCCGAGTCCTTCTGCTGAGCCTGGACGGCTGCTGCAGCTTGCTTGATCAAAGACGAGGCAGACAGCGATCGCTGAAGCATGATCTCTGACATACTCCTCTTCTTCAGGATGGGCTTCTTGTTGTTCGCCAGGAACGAGTTTGACTTGGTCAGTTCGACACTATCTGCTACTTGACCAGGAGGCACGGCAGCGTGGCCTGTTTGTAATGGGCCATACAGCCACGTCACATCACAGTCCTTGAGCCTTGGTTGTGTTAGAACGAAACAAATGCGCAGATATGATCCGTTCATGGTCAGGGGTTAAGCTTACCAGTTGAGCGTTTCAGGAGAAACGGTCTTCAGCTTGTTCTTGGACTTTATCCATGTTCTCCATGAAGCGTTCTCTAGCCGTGCCGAGTTGCTGTAGTCGCCTCTGCGCGAGACGATATACTTCCACGACTCCCAAATGTCTTCCTCCTTCCAGTTATGTGAAAGGTAGTCGACATGGCGAGACGGCATCGCGCGAACGGCCGTGTCGTCCCCGGCCACATGCTCAAACAGATCGAACTGGTCGGACGAGTTCGTTCTTGACGGGCCTGTGGACGAGACGGTTGTGTTGTCGTTCGGCGATGCGGCATACACCTCGCCAATACCGCTGGGACTTGGTGAATCAAAATCTTTGGTCGGGTTGAAGTAGCTCACTCCATCGTAATGTGGATAGTCGATGGCCACGTCGGCATCTGTGCCGTCGTCAGTTCCGTTTGGTGATGAGCCGTAGCCCGGGCGGCCAAGGCGTTGTGGCAAGCGCATAGCTGGCACGAGGAGCTTGGATGGTGATGACGAAGCGATAGCAGCATCGCCAGTAGGAGAGGCGCGGGGAGACGACGTGCTCGAGGAATTTGACGAATCGGAGAAAACGGGTATCTGTTGATATGGTTCGGGCGAGGATTGGCGTGCCTGTGATTGAGACTGTGGGGGTTGTGATATGTGCTGTGTTTGTTGAGACTGCTGCTGCTGCTGGCGTTGCTGCTGCTGGTAGACGTCGCTGATCCTGGAGGCGGACGCCGACTGTCGAAACCCAGTCTGTTTTGTAGAGAACTTGGGCTGTGAGTGTGAGCGCCGCATCCCAGGCGCAAAGTGAGCGGCCTCGTCAGATGTGATGACGACGGCCATAGCGAAAACAAGAGGTTGATCGAAAAGGCAAGCAGGTTCGTCTCGTTGATCGCAATATCTTATCCCTCTCCCGTCAAATCCTCAACTCCGACGAGTTGTCAACTTCCGGATCTCTGTCATAGGCAGCGTAGTTAAGGAGAAATAGGTCTTGTAAATGGGCAAAGTTAGAGACTGCCGCTTTCGACAGGAAGGGCGATTGTAGGCGACACGAAAACGAGAGGAGAGCAGGCCGAAGCGGTCGGGTGTTTGACTGGTTCGTTGCACCCAGAGAAGAGGAGGCCGATAACCGAGAGCACCAGACGAGGCAGCGGATTGAGTGAGTTTGAGAGACAAAAACCAAGAACGATTTTTGCCACAAAAAAAATCACGATTGCAGAACGACGTTGGGTTGTTGTGCTTGCGTGTCTTTCCTCAGAAAGCTAGAATGAATCGTTTCCCGGGGTCAGATGTAATATTAGATGATTATAGTAGTAGTAGTATGTCGTGGTAGTAGAGATATATGTTGTTGTAGGCGCGATAAAAGCGAGTGAAGATGGAGGTCGAGAGCAAGCGAGCGAATACAAGGCTGCAAAAAGAAGGAGGAAGGCTGTTCTGTTATATTGAGTCAGATTTAAAGGCGTGCCAGGACAGGCGAAGGTCGATATCGAAGATATGGCAAGATAACGACGCAGAGCGGGACGAAGAAGAAGGGGAAAGCGAGATGTGGGAGTTGGAGAGCAAGATGCAAGAACGGGAGCCAGAAGGGAAACGAAGAGAGAGCTGGTCCTCTGTCTACTCGAAAAAGAGGTATGCAAATGCAGTGTGCATGGCGTGGGAGAGAAAAAAGGAGCCGGAGGGTAGCTGCATGAGAAAGCGAAGAACTGAAAAGGCGGTGGCCTTTGCTATCGTCGCTGTGCCGAAAGTCTCGCGCTTCAGTCTTGTTGTGGCAGAGAGAGCAAGGAGGGCACAGGAAGAGAGTGTGAGTTCGAGAAGAACGGATGAATGTACCGGCTCATCGGACTGAGGTGTGAGTGGTGAAGGAGGGTGTGTGGGAAAAAGGATGGTAGCAAGGGCGTGCGGGAGGACGCAGGCTTGGGTGTGATTCCTGAGTGCTAGGAGCGAGAATGGTATGTGGGAGGGATTGCCAATCGTGACTGTCGCTCTCTGCAGCCAGGAATGAGAATGGGCTAGGGTGTCTGGGTAAGGGAAGGGGGTGCACATACAAGACAGTATTAATGAGGCGGCGTTTTGTCGTGGGTATGTCGAGAGAGCGAGAGAAGAAAGCAACAAGCGAAAAAAGGCGAAAGCGTGAAGTCAATAAAGGCGAATGGAAAAATGAGAAACGAAAAGAAATAAAAGGTTAATAAAGAAAAAAGGTTCGAAAAGCCCACAACTCCACTTCCGGCCAGACCACCACACCCTGCAGGCTGTTGCGTGCAAGGAGTCTCTGTTTTTACACCAAGAGTCGTAGCAAGTGTTCTGGCCCAGCTAATATAGTCGGGGAGGCGAGCACGCGGCCGCGTGGGTTGTGTAGGGTGAAGTATTCCGTTACGATGGATCAAAGGAGGCAATTTAGGGACAAAGACCGTCGGTCTAGGTCGGTGACAAGGGTGTATCAATTCCGTCCTCGGTCTGCCACTGCCGAGAGAACTGCGTAAAGGGGAGAGGCCATCCAGTCGTGCCAGTGTCGAGAAACATGCGGAAAAGACAAGAATTGCGATGACGTTTTCGAAAGCAAGTCGAGATCGATCATCGAGGTGGCTCGACAAATGTACAGCGCTTCGTCCAAGTCTTCCCCCAAGACAAGAAAAGACGAACGGAAAAGAACGAAACGCCGAGAAGCGCAACCGATTGGGAAATACACAACAATAGGCGGGCTGCATAGGTTGCAAGGGGGATGCACGGCAGTGAAGGGGGGGGGCAGATGGGGAGAAAGGATGTGTGGAGATGCTGTCTGGGAGGAGGTGGGGAGGCGAAATGGGTGGAAAATAGCGAAAAGAAGCGAACGAGAAGGAAGGAAGGAAGCATGGAGAAAAAAATCAACAATGTCTTACAGGGTGTTTTCTTGGGGGAAACGCAAGGAACGAAGGGGGTTTCTGTACGGGTGGTACGCTGTTCGTAAAAAAAGAGGGGAAATGGAAGGAAGGAGGGCCTGGGCGCTGGACCTGCGAATGGCGACCACGAGTAGCCTACTCCATTCAAATATGCAGGTGACCACTGTCTGGGTGCGGCAGGAGCATGCAGGCAAGGTCAGATAATAGTACCTTTTTGTCTTTGCACCTTCCCTCTTCCACCCCCTGCTCCAGTGGCCGCAGGGGCTACGCTGATTGGCTGACGATTTAACGATGAGATGCACAAGGTGAATGTCGATTTGCTGGCTCGAAAGAGCCAACGGCAAACGACTAAATAAACACAGGAGATGGGAGAAGAAATTCTAGTACGTGCAACGTGTAAATGGACACCATGGAGACTGGCCATACTACGCTCCGTGAGGGTGTTATTGTTATGGCCCATTGTATTGTGCTCTGGAGGCCTTTCTTGCAATGGCCTTTCAGACTGTGAGAGAGGGGAAGGCGCAATCGATGCCCCTTACTGCGCAAGGAAAGCACGACAATCAGTAAATACAGAGAATAAATACGGCAGGAGGAGGTGAAAGGGGCGGGAGGCGAAAATGAGGGGGAAGCAGCGACAATCCAGTGAACGGCAGGAGGCATTGTTAAAAAGCCATTAAAAAGGCAACTTTTGAAGTCTTTGTCGAGACACATGACCTGAACATACGGAGAAAAACTGCAACGACAATGGAGCACGGACCAGGCGTAAGCGTTGTTTGGGACGGGGCCTCAGGTCGTTTATGCCGAGCGCGGCGAAAATCAGTGAACGGCTGCCAAAGCGCCGTTTCCAGCGGCAGTTGCCTTGTTCCAGCGCTACAAATATCCAGTAAGTGAAACTCAGGTCAGTCGCACACCCGATGCTGACGCCTTTGACATCTGCAAATAGTCGAAAAAGGAGCAAAACATACAAAGTAGAAAGAGAAGGGGGCATAGGCATGGCGAAAATGGGAAAGGCCATCAAGAAGAAAATTTCGTTGGGGGAGTGGAGGGGAGGCAAACTGGCGGGCATTAGCGCATCTCGCTTTTTCCTCTCCATGCATCAAAGCGAAAAAGAAGCGACCTGGACGACCTGCATCGCTTGCGAGGGCAGTGGCTGCCCTGTCAATTCCTCTTGCCCAAGCCTGTTGCATACACAGTATCCCACATTGGGTCTTGGCCCCAAGGACCTGCTCCCTCTCACGGTGGTCTGAGGAGGAAGTCAAGAGCTGGCCTCTCTTTCGTAATACGATGTACTTTGCGCGCCGTCACTGCCGAGGCCCCGTGAGTTGGCTCGGCGGTGGCGACGAGGTCTGTATCGAGCTTATGACTCTGCTTCAATTTTGTGTGTATTCAGAATATAGATATGAAACCAGTCGATTGTGGGATGCGGAGAACCTTTCCTTGTTTTCATACGCGGAGCGACTCGTTCGGAGTACGATGTACATGTAGAGGTGGGCTTTGGATCATCATCAAATCGAGAATGGCAGCAATGTGAACCAGTTGCATGGATGCTAAGCTGCTACCGGGCTAGTGCACTTCCGGGGAGCCGATTCCACCAGACCGCCTGTAGGTGCCTTGACAAACTAACGAATAAGAGACGAGGAACCAGCAACTCCGCAAAAGTCAATGGGAAAGAACGGAGAATGACAAAAACAAAGTGGGCAAGCGCATTGGAATCTACAAGTTTGGAGAGGTTGGTTGTAATGGCCTGGAACGAAAACCGGTAGGAACTACAAAAGGCGCACTTCCGGCATACTCGGCAGTACACGCAACAAGACAACCGTGGTAATTGAGCGAGACGAGAGACGAGAGACGAAGGCATAATAATCAATACGGCTTTTTTGTCCTGATGCCCCCCTTTACATTCACTGTCACACTTGGGTTGACTGCATTTGGCCTGGCCATTTGAAGTAGCTTAGACAGTGAATCACATTCACACCGGGCGGACCAACAAAGTGCCTAGCCAGGGCCAATGAGCCTGGGAAGAACGACTGGCACGCGAGATACCAATGCCCAGCTAAGATTACAATCCTGCCAACCACTGAACACAGCGCGTTCTTGTGCCTGGGTGGCGAGGGAAGGGAGACAATATAAAGTAAAGAGAGGTGACAGAAAAGGGCAAGGAACATATGAACATAGTGATATAGTATTCGCGCTCACGGGGTAGAGGCAAGCACAAGTCTGAGCCATGTCTTGGTATTACTGGTATCACTTTTGTAAGTCAGCTGTGGGTCTCACGATACGAGTATGGAGAAATGTACAACACAACATACAGGGTATGACGTACAACGTACTTGAATCAGACTGCCTCCAGAGTATTTCGAATCCATGTAGTACTTATCGTGGCCGGTAATTACCCCATAATACCCCATACTTCCTGGGTTATACCTGCCGTATCCTGATTTGCATGACAGCATGGTTGCTTTGAGACAAAACAGTAGACAGTTGCGGACAGCTAGGACGGTGTGCGCTGAGAGTGCCGCAAATGGGAATAGAAAAGAAACAAACCCAATATGTCGCCACACATGCCATACCTGACGAATGGACGCTCAAAGCCCTCCAACGAGTGACCGACCACCCACCGGGGGCTGGTCCAAATGCTTCCGCCACGACAGATTGCAGCCAACGGCAGATGTGAGACATGCCGAATGGGCCGATTTGCATTCCAGAGGGCAAAGACACATATGCAGACGGCAAATTACTCCTTACTACAACCGAAACGCCTCGTAACAATACCACAAAGCACCAAAGATGTCCTCGAGCTTCAAGATGTGAGTAGTTGACGAAGAGGGCGATAATGCCAGGACGCTTTCTGCGCGCAAGACATTGCCAGGGAGGGAATAGATCAGGATGCTATGGAGATTACAAAGGGGAGATGCTCAAGGGAGGGAAGGCCGGGATTCTGGGAGATCGGCCACCGTCACAGGGCTGGGGTGCTCTGCGGCTTTGTCACTGTGAAACCCGTCTCGCAGCAATTCTTTGCTTTGTTCCTTGTTCATGTCCTTTCACGAAATATGAAGACAGGCGCGAACGCGATAGGGCGAGCGATGGATCAGCGAGATCTCCCGGAAATGGCACATACCATCAATGGCCATCGACAAAATCCCCAGGTCTCGCGACGGCCATTAGAGCAATGATGACGATGTGATGTGCACTCGGGGACAAAATGTCTTCGTTGTATATCATGAGATCGACAAGCGAGGGACACAAATTCGTTCGCGGCTGGTAACACGAAAGGAAACTCGCTCAGACAGCTCTCGCCTCGGGGGCTCGAAAAGAGCTTGGACAAAGGCATCGAAATCTAAACGATCTACTGCCACAAGCAGTGGTCAAGTGATGTGCAGAGCCTGCGAGCCCGGGCGCCATTGGAGGTTCTTACGAATCGTATCGTCTTACAGATTGCTTTGTTCTGTACTAGACACACCAAGCTCCCACAGTCGTATGCTTGCCCGCTGTTTTGTGATTCAGTTTCCATTTTCCAGGCTCCTCTAGGGTTCCATTGCTGCTGTCTAGGGACCTGGCCCAATCAAATGTCGATCCTGCCCAAAGCCTATTTTGTCGTGCTGGAGAATACGCACTTGCAGAAACAATACCCACCTTGCAGTGAGAACTGGGGTCATAAACATGTACCTGCAAGACCCATCTTCAAAATATTCCGCCGTACGACGTACAGCATACCCACATACAACATACATACGACGTATGATATATATTGTCCAGACATGGTCCTCGGGTTTAGTGCGCAGGCCCAACAGTGAGGAAAAAGTGACAGGTCAGAAGACGCGATTTTGCTTCCCACCCTTCTTCGTTCGACATCGAGCTTGTCGAGTCTGTGCCGCGTAGTGTTGACATCCATTTGCTCCAGCAACGTCGTCACCTAACTGTTTTGCGGACGGTGCTTTCCGCGCAAAGATGGAGTATTTCTAGCCCAACG